ACGTTCTAGTCAAACGGAAAATTTTACCACTTCAATGCGCTTCATTGTAACACAAAATTTTTTAGACTTTACTTATACAAATATAAGTACTATATTAAGCAATGAATCATTTTTTGAAAGATATAGTCTCATAACTGCAACAGCGTGTGCAAACAAACGAGAACGGATTATATGAATAGAGATCTCGGCTTAATTTAGTAATTTTCTGAAAGTCCTCATGTCACTACATGGCTTTCGTAAACATCACCTTGGAATGGTTCCACATGAGTTTCATCCTTTCTGGTCCATTGGTTCTTGAGAAAGATTTTCTTAAATTTTTTCCCTATATATTCCTATCTAAAATTTTGATCGTCCATTGTTGCCCCATCCTAGCCCCCATGAATCATGTTTCAAAAAATGGAATCTACTTTATATAAGGTTTTTTCCACATGTGTTTTAACTTTCCTGGCCCAATGGTTCTTGAGAAGATTTTTAAAAATGACACTAATTTATAATGGAGATAATTATCTCGAAACAGAAATCCCTTGCCGACCGGTCACACCCGCCGTGTGCTCGTTGTCATGATCAGGAAATAACGGAAAAAACCGTTGTCAATTCAGTGTATAAATAATGGACTAACAATTGGTATGAAAAACGTCAGTCAGCATTTGACTCAATGATAAATTGTATTTGCTGACAAGGTCATTGTATCGACCATAGAACTTACGAAATGATGACTTTAAACGAGACTGCTGATACTCTTGTTTCATCAACTTGCTTGTCAATAATTTACCTCGTTTAAGAAATTGTTCATACGTAGAGCATGCTCTTGCGTATCGAATCAATTGAGATATATATATACTCCGTAAGCAGGTGATGAAGGTATATTGCTGCATAAGTAAGGGAAGTTGACGATAGAAAAGTTAAAGTCATCACGTTTATCATATAGCTTGGTTGTTAGATTACCATTAGAGTCTTTTTCAAGTAAAATATCCAAATATGAAGCAGAAGTGTCGAACTCTATGGTATCTTTTATCTCAAGCTCACCAGGATATATCGTATCGACGTAAGAATGTAAATTATCATTATTAATTGACAATACGTCGTCGATATATCAAATGTCGAGTTGAAGGCCACAGCAAGTGTTTTCTTCTTTTCACGCATAAGATTTTGCATAAATTCTGCTTCATATGAATATAAAAATAAGTCTGCTAAAAACGGAGCGCAATTTGTACCCATGAGTATTCCAATAGATTGTTGGAATACCTCCATGGTCTCCAAAAACCACATAGATATTGTCAATCAGAAACTCAAGCATCTTCTTGATGTCAACTCCAGAGTACTTATGTGTGCAATCAGAATCTGTTTTAACAAAATAATTTTGCAAATGACCAATGACGAGGTAAGTAAATTTACGAGTTCCATTTTTATTGAAGAAGCAGCTGTCAATGATATCAAAAAGCCTAGATTTTAATTTGTCGTGGGGAATTGTTGTGTATAAAGTTGAAAAGTCGTAAGTTTTTAAGCTGTTGATTTTTGAAAAGTCTTGTGATTTCAAATTGTCCAAAAGTTCTTTAGAATTTTTAAGTATCCACATCTGATTCACACCACTTCTTGAATATATAGTTGCACAGTACTCTTGAAGTTTTTCCTTCACCACTGTCAGTATCTAAGTGACGAGTAACGAAAGAGGCTTGGTTGAACATTTACTGGAACCTGCAATGTATCTTTGTTTGTAAGGATTCTTATGAAGTTTCGGAATCCAATATATATAGGGTAGTTCAAATTCATTTTGGCTCTGTGGAATATTAAAAGTATTCAAAACTGACAGGTGATTTTGAAGAATTTCTTCCTTAGAAAGGGAAGTATGAGCATAAGTAGGATTACCACTTGTAGAATTAAATCCAAGTTCTTGTAGAATGCAATTTATATAATAAGCCTTACAAACAAAGACAATGTTGTTACCTGCTTTGTCGGCAGGAACCGGTACCAGTACGTACTGATCGTGTAATCTATCTAATTCTTTTTTCACTTCTGGTTTATTGAACACAGAAGGATAGATAGTTTTCATTTTGCCCCTCAATCTTTTAATAAGTGACTTTAACATGGATCTTATACATTTAATCCATTCTGACAAGGTGTCAACGTCTTCTTTTTCATATCTGGCCCATCTTCTGGGGTAATTTTCAACAGAATCCATAATATTTATGAAATTCCGACGCCAGTTGAAGGTTCGGGGTTTCCTATATTTAGAACCTTTTAAAATAAGTGATCTAAGGTCCTCATTACGAACTATATTTACGTCACCTGTAATAACGTGTCCAGCAGGAATATAGTTATAGGGCGAAGAAGAACATGAACACGAAGGGGGATTATTTTTCAGATAGTCGGTATCCAGGCCATGTAAAGTGTTTTTGTAATTGAAAAGTTTGGCAGCAATGGTCGATGTGTATTTGTAGGAAATACAAGGTGTAGTCTTTAACTTGAAATATGGTGGAATACAAAGACTGGACCCTTTTGTGATTAAGAATATTACTTATATTAAACGCGTCAATTCCTTTATTGGCATATTGAAGCTTAAGGAAAAGACGGATTGTGTTAGCTGCATTTTCTTCCGTGAAACGCACGGGTTTAAAAAGCCTATGATATGAAATATCCATAATCACAGATCCGAGCCTATATTCAGGTGACGAGGAATCTAAAATTGGATGTTCCTTGGCCTTTTCAAGAAGACTAATTAAAAGTTTCAAAAGGGACAGAGTAAAGTTTTGTTCGAATATGATGTAGATCTAACTGTTGATTTACATAAGGTAGTAATGAATCAAAAGATACGTCGTGTATTACAGGTTTATTGTATGAACGATGTCCATGACAACGCTTACGTCTCTGAGTGTGGTTAAAATGTCCCATCACATTTACATTGTTACACTGCAGGCTGGAAAGACTTCCAACACTATCGACATTGTCATTACATCCATAGGGAAACGCTGTCTCTAGCTTCCTAATCCAAAAATTCTTCTCGTTGTCTACGGAAAGGTGTACTCAACGACGGACTATTTCTGTGGTGATAAATCTTTTTGAGAATTCTAACTTTCATTAATAAAATAGAATGATCAGGTGAATTAAAATGTTTGTATAAAAGCTGCTGACCACCATGATTTATTTGAAATCGATGACCTGATATTCTTTTGTTAAGCGATCCCTTGGTTTCACCGACATAAACAAGTTCACACAGATTACATTCTATTCCATAAACAACATTAGAAGATTTGCAGTTCAGATTTTCCCAAGTTTTGGTATAGAAGCTCTGTCCAGTAAGATTACTGGTGAAAGAAGTGTCAGTTATCAAAATCTCACAGGTTTTACAGTTTCGCACAGAACATTTTGAAACAGAAGACATGGGATCGGAAAAAGAATTATCCAATATATCTGTAATAGAAACTTTACATTCTTTCAGTTTGGTATATGATGTATTGGTTGTATACCAAAACTGGGAATCTGAAGACTGTACATATGACATATGTTTAATATCCCTGAGGATTATCCGAGGGGCACCATACGAACTCCTTGAGTCTGTGCCCCGTATAGACTCAAAGGAGTGACGCCTTTTTATACTGGGCGACGCGCCCGCCAGTATCATTTCGTTATTCTGTGTACTCTTGCATGAATAGGTACCGAACGACAAGTATCCTCGGGGACAAACTGTCCACCAGCAGAGAGACATGTTCGGTGGTTAAAAGAAGGATATGGAGTAATAACAAGTATCTGTAAAGTAGAATAAATGCGCGGATTTAGACAGGGTTCATTACAATTCGATCGAGAGAGAGAGAGAGAGAGACAGAGAGCATTATTGATAACTGGAGACATACGAAAAATATCCCCTGAATTTTTTCTGCATCCTTGATTAAATTGCAAATGAGTATATCATAAAACTTCTGCAGTCTTTTCTTCTGACATGCATGGCCTGATACATGTACATAGGGGGGATTCAAAATGTATTGGACTTTTTAGAATTTCAATTTCAAGTAGACGGTCGGTTATCTTGTCTTTTCTGCGATAATAACAGGTTAAGTGAACATTCGTCAAAACAAAAGAGTTAAAAAATGTAAACTGAAAACATCTCATGTGATAAAACGGGTCCCGATAAAACAATTCATACATTTACAATGAACCACAAATCGCCACTTTCTGACCGTACAGCATTTGTTTTCAAACATCCCGAATAATTTATAACAGAATTCTAAATTTAATATGAAATCTAATCTTACAAAACTTAAACTGTCAGGTAAGGACGACAACTTACATATGTACTTAATTAAAACCCTAACAGAATGATATTTAGCAATATATCTATCATGTCTATATAACATAAGTTTGACTTAGCTAGGACCTAGCTTAGTTCCCTTTATGTTACGGTTTAAGTCGTACTTAAGTATTACTAAGACAGGTCCTGAGATTATGCTTAAAACGTACTCAAGACCCTACTTAAGTCAAAAACCTAGCAAGCTTTATGTTACGAACCCCTGGTTCTTTAGAAAAAGATGAAAATGTGAAACGTTTATGACGACGACAGACAATGGACACATTTGATCAGAAAAGCTTACTTGAGACTTTGGCTAAGGCGAGCTAAAATGGGAATCATAAAAAAACGAAAATACAAAATGTGCATGTTTGGCTGAAAAAAATGTTTTTACAACTGTTAAAATTTATTATATAAAGGAAAATCTCGTGGCTATACATTAAAGAATGAAACGATATACCGGTAATCAATGAAAACGGTGACTTAATACCAAACAGATGTCAATCAAATAAGAGCTGACAAGCAAAGAAATCTCTGAACAAGGCATTGAATACGGCCCCTTGAAAGTCTAGTGGTAAGATTAATAGAAAATAAATTAAATTAAACGATATTATCACAGATACATTGTACTTGTATTCATATCTTTCACAACTTATTCAAGGGTATTCGAATTGCATATTTTCATGTGTTATATTTTCAAAATATAATGTTTTTGTCTTACCCATCTTCAGGATCTAGTGTCAATCCCTCCGGCTGAGACAGGTCTTCTTGAACAACGATTTTGTATGAAGATCTAATATGGTCGTATGCTGGCTTCATGCCTATCCAGTTAAAAAGCGAGTCACACCAGTACAAATTATTAGAAACATAGTCAAAGGCAATTTGACCTTGAGCCGCAGATTTTCCTTTGAAAGCAACATTAATAGATTCAGATTTGATAGATCTTGATTTTTTTGGCGGAATTGTATAGTTTTGAATCGCGAAAATAGCGTCATGAACAGCGAGAAAAACTACTTTATTTCGATCATCAGACGTAATGCTATATATCCGAATATTTGGGGGTTCCACTAACTGCGTGACATTATCTATAAATTTTGTATGAGATCCAGGTACGTTTGTGATGGTGACTAGCGATGCGGGGTTCCCCATTCCAATAAGGAGTCCTCTGTCCACAGGAAGATCTGTAATATTACGTTTTGGATTATGTTATGTTTATTGCATCTTCTTGTTTGATATTCAACTAGGAAAAAAATAAGTTAAAAATTAAGAATAATACTCTTCAGAATTTCTTCTCAGAAACAGTATGGTTTGTCTTTTACTAAAAGACGTTAGGATTGTTTTCATTATCTTATAAACCTCCCATTAAACTGTACATCTCTTAATACATAACAGGGTTATCTTCTTTAATTTGTTCAGATTGAAGGCCAACTAATTCTAAGGGGAAATTTAAACAAAATAATCTCTAATATATAATATAATATACATTATTCTAAATGTTGTTTCAATTGTAACAAAATTGAAACGAATACTCGGTTAAAATTTAGGTCCCTCCATATGAAACTGAGGAAACTATGATTGTCGTCCCCATCTGTTTGTTTTTCCACCCTCTAAATCTATATTCATTAAACAGGCAGATACTATAAGTGGGGAGATATTCTTAATTGAACTTACATTGATATTTCATTCAAAGAATCTTTTTATTTTCATTGATGATTTTGTAGAAATTCAAACCTCAACTTTTAAGGGTGTTTAATCAACAACATCTGAATACATTACACTTTCAAATGGGTATTTTAGACATCTTATGATAATACATACATATATATATTCTCCATAATAGCGTAGTTTACGTGAATTAATTATGAATCTTTGTATTCTCTGAATGAAAGTAAAATACCTTCAGGGCAGAAAAGACAGCCTATAGATTACGTTAAAGCATACATGAATAATATTAATTGTGTAGTTTTACTGTATCTTTGTTACCTGGGTGCAACATCTTTAACAATATTAAATATAGGAAATGTGTTCGCAGAGAGAAATCGAAATTGGAGATGGTAAATTGCGTTAAAAAGCTAAATTTTAATCATTCAGGCATTGGAAATGAAACAAATGTATAGTTCAAAATTCATACCGTTTTATACATTTATAATCTTTGTACCATAAACACTAATAAAGAAAACCTAAGCGTTCGATATAGGTGCCATTGGCACCGAGTAGATAACTTTGAAGCACTTCACCCCTGTTTGCTGATGCAAGGAATATAAATACATGTAAACCAACAATCAATCAATTTAAACATATGAATAAACAGTAGATACTGATACACAGACAACTTCAGTTCATACATGTACATCACTTTAACAAAGCACATATGTTTCCGAAAAACAAACGGGAAAAAATGAAAGGAGACAAAAACAAATTTATAAAAAATGAAGCATACAAGAGAAATATTTATAAATCAAGTTCAATACTTAAATGAGATATTATATATCCTACTAACTTACCGGAACAGAAAAATCCTTCGATTGTCAGTTTTACCAAAAATGCTATGACTTGTAAAATAAACATCCTTTACCGGACAAACACAATTACTCTAATGCCTACAACTATTAAAGCTTGTTGTCCACGCCTTTGACAAAAACTTTAAAACGGGGAAGTTTTTTGCATTGGCTTTGGTATATGCTCCCTGTGCATCGTCATGGAAATTAAGAAAAATTGTATAATTTATCGCGTCTGCACTTTGGTCAAAACTCTTGAATGACTAGAGATAAGATTTCATATTTTATGTTACATGTTGCAAGACCTTTCCATATACTATGATTTTTTACCTCGTGACATTGATTTTGAAGTTTGACCTACTTTTCAGTACCAAAAGGTGTATGCATATAGTAGTTTGATTAGGTAACATTCAAATGTTCTTCCTTTTTATCAATAAAAGAAAAGAGTTTCTGTTTATAAATACAGTAATTTTATTTTATACACATAGACACAAAGTTATAAAATTGTTAAATAAATATGATAAATGCAGGAATCTAATATATTACCAAGTGAGGCAAGTAAAATTATTCAATCGTAGTCCGATTTGAATATTCTCTTTCAATGCTTTAGAAAAAATAACATGAAATTATTTTCTTCCTCGTAAAGATATTGGACATAGACTTATTGCCTGGGCTATTTTCAAAAATTTTACTTACTTGCAATGAACAAGCACTTAACTCTTCAAATCAAAGACGTATCCTTTAATGTGCTACTTATAATTCATGACTATATTTACTTTCAACACTTCTTAATTAACTCCTGATAGGTTTCCTGTGAGGAGTAAATAAGATTGAAAACAACATTATATAATTTAAGCATTTACTCTTGATATCTGTTATGACAAGGGGACCCAAGCCTGAAAATTCTAAATGGAATACAATTTTCATTTACATAAGCGTATTTCTCTGGGGATATCTAAACCATGAAATTAAAATTTATATAAGTAGTTAATAAATCGAAGTTACTTTTTTTTAATTGCGACTATTACTTTAAAATAAAATGCAAAATGGAAATTATCCGTTATTCATACTTTTTTAAACACAATAAGATATATTAGCCTCGATAAATCCCAAATATATTTATAAGCAGTCTCTCTCGAAAGTCTATTTTACAAAGCTAAAGAAAAGCACACATGCTTTCTTCAACGGGTAGAATCATCTACTAGAGTATTTAGCAAGAAAGAAAAGAAGTAATACATTGTTTGTGGGTCTTTGTGTTTACATGACAAAGAGCTCCAAGATGTCATGTCCCATATAGCTATGGCAAAAAGGACAAAGATGTGACATTTAATAGCTGAAAGGTACAGCAGCTGTACTAAATGTCATTTGCAGGATGCATCATTTAGCAACTACGAATAAAATTTTTTAAAGAAATCAATGATATTTTTACGATCATATATCAAAAAATGTGCAAACCATGATAGAAAATGGATATCATGAATATTGATAAGATACTAAGGGAAGATACTCAAAAAAATAAAGAACGGTTCTTGTATGCCCGTGTCTTTTTTCAATATGTATAATTTCAAACGAAACATCTAGATTAGTATACAAAGAGTAAACAACAATGTTAATTATTCATAAACTTTATTTCCTAAATAACTATAAAGTAAATGCGTCTTGGAGAAATCTTAAGACGGAAAATCATAATGCGGGTTCCTTTTATCAACATTTTACGTAGAAAATACATCGATAATATTAAATGCACTTATGGTTTCATTTCTCCACCGTCTTAGAAAAAAATTTCCTGCCTTGGAAAAACATAAATTTGATATTTCCCTCATATTCATTCCATAACTGAATACTATTCATATGATAACTTTATTATTGTTACTATTACAATCATTTCAGATGTTTCTTGCGCTACTTTGATTCATGAACGTTGCCTTTCTATTTTAGGTTATACAAAGGATTAAGAAACATTTCTTGTGGTTCATCCTGTGCTTGAGCATATTTATACCCATTGGAATTTCTTTTCTTTAAGAAACAAACTGTAACAACAATGGCAATAATAAGAAACCCTGCAACCGCTGCTCCAATGAAGACATATGTCTCAAAGCTGTTTCCAGTTACGTGGTGTGAGGAAATGTTCCCTGTAAAAGAAAACTAAAATAAAATTCAATAGAAGAAACAATTTTTGTTTTGCTAGGTATTCATTCATTTTAAATCATTAATAAAAATTCTTTGTGTGACACGAGATATTTTTCCATGAAAAAGCCTTGGATAACTATTAAATCTAAAGAAGGTGGTAAAAATACATTTCTAAAAACTTGTTTCAGCATTCATTCATAAATTAATATAACTGCTTCTTATTTTTAACGAGAAACAATGTTTTCATATATATATATATATATATATATATATATATATATATATATATATATATATATATATATATATATATATTTAAACACTTCATAAAAGCATTTTTATATATAAATGCACGTACGAGTAAATTGTGTACATATGATGTTTATATCTTCGTTCCAGGATCCAACTGATGTACATATTATCTGTACAGAGGTTGCATTGGATTCATTCCGGCAACCAACCTCACATATTTCTCCGATATTCCCATTGCAATGCGAGGACAAATAACCATCAGGTATTTGAAGCGGGCACGTTATTCCTGTCATGAACAAGAGGCCCACGGGCCTCATAGGTCAACTGAGTATCATGTAACAACTTTCCAACAATTGAATTGGTTCGTGTTTTAAATCAAACCATGAAATTCAAAATTTTGAAAGAGGCACTATTGCTTATCATAACTACATGTATACAATTAGCTTGCTTACTTTGGTTACTTAATACCCAGAGGTGAATAAGAGTAACAAAGAGAAAATGCATTTTCACCTTATATACAGTTGTGCACCCCACCCCACAGGAACCACAGACCCTGGGGGCACATATTTCAAAATTCTGGAAATTTTATCATAAATTTTATATCATCATAAATTGTTGATTAATACCAAAAAGCAGATATCAAAGCATTAATTTATTTTCAGACTTTGTAACCCCCACCCAAAGAACCCTGACCCAGGGGCCCTGAAATTAACCATTTTGGAAGAGACACCTTTCATCATCATTAATATGTACCTAGAACATTGGCATAATACCCAAGAGCAAAGAAAAAGGTTTTCGAAGTATTGATGAATTTTCACCGTATAATCATTAGAGCCCTGCCCTAACACCAAAACTCCTGACCCTGGGGCCCTGAAATTCATGAATTTAGAAGAGGCTTCCTTCCTCATCATAACTACGTACATAGTTCTTTGGTTTATACTCAGGAGCAGAGAATAAAATTTTTAAGTACTAATGTATTTTCACTAAATAACTTATAGAGCCCCACCCTAACACAAGAGCCCCTGACCCAGAGGCCATGAAATTCATAATTTTGGAAGAGGCACTCTTATTCAACATAATTGTGTCCTCAGGGGCAGAGAAGAAGATGTTTAAAGAATTAATGTATTTTCACTTTAAGATCAATAGAGCCCCACCCTAACACCAGAACCCCCAACCCAAGGGCCATGAAATTCACAATTTTGAAAGAGATGTTCTTGCTCAATACCCAGGAGTGGAGAAGAAGATTTTCAAAGAATTTATGCATTTTCACTATATAATTTATAGAGCCCAGCCCTAACACCAGAACCCCCTAATCCCAGGGGCCATGAAATTCACAATTTTGGAAGAGGCACCTTTATTCAACATAACTATACATTCGGTTTGTTTATTAAGTACCCAGGAGCAGAAAAGAAGATTTTCAAAGAATTCATGTATTTTCACTATATAATCAATAGAGCCCAACCCTAACACCAGAACCCCTGACCATGGGGCCATAAAATTCACAATTTTGGTAGAGGCACTATTGGTCATCATAACTATGTACTTAGTTGGTTTATGTAATACCTAGGAGCAAAGAAGAAGATTTTCAAAGAAATAATGCATTTTCACTATATACTTATTTAGACCCACCCTAGCACTAGAACCCCTGACCCCAGGGACATGAATTTCACAATTTTGGTAGAGGTAGAAGACTCAATGCTGATTACAATTACGCAAACAATTTGACTGCTTGATGCCCAGGAGTGAAGAAGAAGACTTTTTAAGATTGCATTAATTTTAGTGGTTTTGGCCCAACCCCCAGGCCTCGGGGGGGGGGGGGGACAGGGACCATGAAATTCACGACTTTTGTTCCCCTTTATAGATGCTTTATACCAAATTTGGTTGAAATTGGTTCAGTGGTTCCAGAGAAGAAGCTGAAAATGTTCAAAAGTTTACGAACGACGTACGACGGACGACGTACGACTGACGACGACGGACGAAAAGAGATAGCAATAGGTCACCTGAGTTTACTCAGGTGGCCTAAAAATAGTTAGATACTTATGTTTGTTTAAGACATATGTAGATTGTATTGAACATTGAACAAGAGATTTGTTTGTGAAACACTGATGCCCCCGTATTGCAGCTTAAGGCCAAGGTTGAAGTTTTTTGAATGCAAAATTAAACTCCATGGTCAAGAGATCAAAAATATTGGTACGTTCTCGTAACATGAAATACACCTTCGTGAAATATGAAATTCCTAGTACCAGCCTTTAAAAAGATATTGTCAGGGTTCATGTTAATCAAAAGTAGGTCCGACACTAAGATCAAAGTAAAAGGTTATAAAATGTTGATATCCAAGGAAGGGTTTGATCACAAGAAATACACATTAAAACATGAAAGTCAAAACACCAATCGTTTGAATTAATGGCAAAAGTTAAATTTTTCTAAAGGTAACGGTTAAGTCATCAAAAATACTTGTACTCATGGAAATACAGGTTAAGTATGAAAGCCCTAGCAATATCAGTTCAAAGGTTAAGACCAAGTTTAAAGTTTGGATTATAGTTTGAAAAGTTAAGTTAAACTGCAAAGTCAGAAGGTCAAATACATTGACAAAAACAGACAAACAGATCGAACGCTGTCTTCCATTACGGGAACATTAAAATATATTTTAAAACTTTATCCAGTTGATGTTAACAATTTAGTACTTCAAATCATTTTTCTTACTTTTGCATATTGTATTGATATTTTCATTCCACGTGCTGGCTGATGTACAAACAATACTTGTGGAAGAAATCCATGATTGGTAATTACTGTCACAAATGAATGAACAACGATCTCCTACTTTTCTCTCGCACTTTGGCGCTATTTTTCCATGAGGGATAATTAATGAACATAGCCTTACTGAAAACATAAATGCATTAATATTTTTTAACATTCAAAATAAATAAAAAATAATGTTGTGATGTGATATATTTCACCGAAATAAAATACCATGTACCACATAAATTGTTTGTCTCGTGGTTCCATTCACCACCTACTTTGCAGGTTATAGTTGGTATTAGTGGATTAATGTAAAAATGATCGATGCATTCATAGCGACATATCTCTCCGGAATTCGACGAACAATTAACGAGTTTACCATTTTGTATCGTCTTTGTGCAACCAGAAGCTAAAAAAATAAATGATCATTGATTTATTTATAGAGTTTACATTGTTTTTAGAATGTTTTAGAACAACTCCTTTATTGTACATTTAACCAGTTTCCAAGATAATGCCAGTAAAAAAATATTCAGAATAGAAATGGACTTAATTAAGTTCTTCATAAATATTCATATACATGTAGCACGATACCATCTACGTTTTTATCGATTTTCTATATACAAAACGTGTACAATCGAAATTGGGGAAAATTGAAAAAAAAAGGCTGGTAAGGATATAGTTATGTTTATTTCGATAACTTTTCTGTAGAAATATATTTCGATTATTTTACATGAAATTATATTTCTGTAATAATGTTATTGAGAAAATACACCAAACAATGAACTGTTATCAGATCTTACGCTTGCATAATTCGTTAGTGTTTTCATTCCAGGTTCCATTTGATGTACAGATAATATTTGCAGTATGAAGGGATGAACTGTAGTTGATGTCACAAGAGAAGGAGCAGATGTTACCAATTTTTCGTTGACAACCTTTATCCAGTTTTCCGTTCCGGATTATCGAAGGGCATGCGAGTACTGAAAAAGTTTTCAAAATTATATATTTCTTCAAATGAAAAAAAAAAAAAACAAAATGAACTTTCCTCGGTATCTTTGTAACATTGCCTGAATCTAAAATAAAAATAAACTCACTACATAAATCTTTTACGTCATGACTCCACTCTCCATTTTCATAACAGGTAACATTCTGAGCTAATGAATTCACTTCAAATAGACCAATGCATTCATATCGACACGATTCTCGGATGTTTGCCTGGCAATGTATGAGTTTGCCATTTTGTATCGTCTTTGAACAACCAGAAGCTATATAAAGAAGAAGTGTTACGCATATTTTATAAATCTTGAATCATATAAAAGAATAACAAGTGCTTGTATGCCTTTTTTTCTTGCAGGCTTCGAGTTAATTGTATATAATTTTAAGATATTTTTTTAGATAAATTAACCATCTCACACAATTACAGAGGTTACAGCAGCACATTTCTAAGCATTTGATATTCATAGCATGAATAATTTTGTAAACAGTAATATTTTGAATGAAGAAACCTCAGAAAATTTGGCTTACGCTTGCATAATCCGTCAGTGTTTTCGTTCCAGGTGGCGCCCGATGTACAGACAATGCTTGAAGAAGATAAAGAGGACCTGTAGCTGACGTCACAAGAGTAAGTGCAAATGTTCCCAATATTTCGTTGACAGCCTTCATCCAGTTTTCCGTTCCGAATAGTTGAGGGACATAAATGAACTACAAATCTTATGAAAATTAGCATTTATATCTACAGAAGAAAAAATATGAAAATTATCAATCTAACCAACTCACCACATAGGTTATTTGTATCATCACTCCATGTTCCATTCTCTTTACATGTGATATTTGGAACAGAAGGATTTATTTCCAAAGGACTAAAGCATCTATATTGACATGTTTCTTGGATATTTGATTGACAGTTTAAAAGTTCGCCATTTCGAATTTTCTTTGAACATTCAACAGCTATTGACAGAAAAATCATGAGCATGGACTTATTAAGTTTTGAAATTTTCAACTCAACTTATTAATTTTTATAAGTTAAATAGATTATCTACATTTCATTACGGTATGAGAATTAATTCTGATAATCAACGCTAGTATTTCTTGAAGTACTCTTTGTCGAAGATTTATTATAACGAAATTTGTTTAAAGCCATTAAATCGAAAATATTCTTACGCTTGCATAATTCGTCAGTGTTTGTATTCCACGTGCCATTCAAGGTACAAACAATTCTTGAAGAAGGGGCGGAAGACCGGAAGTAAGGGTCGCAAGTGTAGAAACAAATGCTCCCTATTTTCCTTTGACAACCTCTATCCAGTTTTCCACTCGGGATTGTCGATGAGCACAACCTTACTGGAAATATTTGTATTAAACAAAAACAATATTTTCTTCTAAAGAAGATTTTATATCATCGTTATTTTTTTCGCTGTTAAAGGTACTTAAACACAGATTTTAAGTTATTATTTTCTCTTATATATTTTAAAAGCATTTCACACAAAAATTAATTTAAAATCTTATTTCATATAAAAGATATTAAAATTTCAATTTTTTGGCTGTTTTGATTGACACATCCTTTCTCTTTCACAAATTAATTATCTTCTTAATCCAGTAGAAAAGACAATCTCGTTGTGTATGAATGAAAAATATTAAATTAATTATTTTTATTAATATTCCCAATGTAAGTTAACAACAATGATTTCTGCTCACAAATAGTCCATTGTCTTTTAACATTTTTTAAACATCAATAATAACAGAACTATCCCTAAATTTATAAAAAGTTTACAATATACACTTGTGTTATATGATATATTTTTCAACTCTTAGTTCCAAAAACATTTTGTGAAGAATTTTGCTTTCTTAACAAATAAAAACTGAATGAAATTACTTTTCTGCATAAATTGTTATTTCTCATTAATACACAAAAAGACCATTTTCGTTGCATGTAACATTTGGAACAGCTGGATTGACATTTAATAGACCATGGCAAAATTTGACAGGTTTCTAACTTTTAAATGAAACAGTTTATAAAATTTTTGTGTGAAATGTTTTAAAAACAAGTAGAACCTATATTAAAACAAATAATCAAGGATGTCTATAATTGTTCCGAACACAGCCCTGATGATGCTGTGCAATACATCTCCACTATCTTTATTTCTCACATCACAAGCCGAAAGTAATGGTACATCATGCATGGATTCGTCTTGAGCCCTACAAGTTGATTAAGCATTCAAATGTAGTATAAAAATAATCAAAGGTCTAACATTTAGTATAAAAGTAGCTTGGTGGCACTTTGGAGTTAAATCCCGATGAAAGATATGTGCATTATTGGGCTGTTTTTTGTCATGTGTTATCTTTGCATTCCTTGTCAGGTAAAAGTGATTATCCTCTAGAACGTTACCTCGAGTTGATTAAGCATTCAAATGTAGTATAAAAATAATTAAAGGTCTAGCATTTAGTATAAAAGTAGCTTGCGCACTTTGACGGATATAAAGAAGTCATTTTTCTGCTTTTTTTTTCATGTGTTAAATTTAATGAATTTCTTATACGGTTATAACGAATTACTGATATAGCAAAGTAATTTCGAAGGTCCCAGCGACTTCGTTATAACCGAGTTTTGCTGTATCTCTCTTTGGAACAGGACTATGTATCATGTAAGACACAAAGCTTGCTTTAAGTTGGCGTAAGGGGAATAAATATAGAATTCACAAGCATTGTATTCATGTGACAAAGGTGCTGGATTCAATTTGAAATATGTACATGTACATGTACCATTGTCTTTCCTTCCTTATATCATGAGAATTCTAATTTAATTGACGCTTAATTTTCAATAACGTGCAAAGAGCACGAGGCAGTTTGAATGTAAACTGTGACGTCACATGAGATTGTACATGTTTGTTATGTAAAATTTCCTTAACAAAGTCTAAATAGTGATTTTAATAACATGTGTAAAAATCAAAATATAAGAGAAGTGTTCCATGAACCACATCCCTCAGCAATGCATATTGGCTGGGAAAAAGCAAAAAAATCAGTTAAGTATTGAAAAGTTTACTTAGGTAGGGGTTGCTTGAATTTTAAATCACATGAGGATGCTGCCATTCCAATAAAATATATGGCTATGCTGTTTTTGAGAAGATTTTTACAGATATTTTCATATATATTTTTATGTAAAAAATTTAATCTCCCATTGTGCCCCCTCCGTATTACTTATGGTCACGATATGAATAGACTTGAATCTTCACTACCTGAAAATATTTTCATATATTTGCTCTTCCTGGGAAGAATTTAATTTTTTTCAAACGTATTCTTATGTAAAACTTTGGTCCCCAATTGTAACCCTGACCTCCCAAAGAGCTATCATTGAACAAACTTGAATCTACACTACCTAAGGATGCTTCAATATAAATATGACTGAACATGGTTTTGTTGTCCTTGAGAAGAAGAATTTTAAGTGTTTTCCCCTATATATCTCTAATTAATGTTAGATCCCCCATTGTGACCGCACCCTACAACTTGAGTTATTATTTGAATAAACTTGGATCTACACTATTTGAGGATGCTTCCATATCAATCTGATTAAACATGGCTTTGCTGTTCTAAAGAAGATTTTTAAAGATTCTTTTAGCATATATATTTCTATGTAAAAGTTGATCACCCATTTTCACCGCACCCTAAACCCCTGGTATCACCATTTGAATAAATGCGAATCTCAACAACCCAATTCAAAGATTCTTCCTAATTATGTAAAACAATAATCCCTTATACCTCGGTAGTGACCCCACCATTTCCCTAGAGGTCATGTTTGGAAACCCCGGTAGTGACCCCACCATTTCCCTAGAGGTCATGATTGGACACCCCGGTAGTGACCCCACCATTTCCCTAGAGGTCATGTTTGGAAACCCAGGTAGTGACCCAACCATTTCCCTAGAGGTCATGATTGGACACCCCGGTAGTGACCCCACTATTTCCCTAGAGGTCATAACTGGACACCAAGGTAGTGACCCCACCATTTCCTAGAGGTCATGTTTAGAAACCCCGGTAGTGACCCCACCATTTCCCTAGAGGTCATGTTTAGAAACCCCGGTAATGACCCCTCCATTTCCCTAGAGGTCATGATTAGAAAGACTTTCAATCCACAGAACCTGAAGATGTTTTTACTGTATCAATATGGCTAAACATGTTTTGGTGATTTCCATAAACCTTCACATAAATGTAGAATCTTACAATCTATTAGTAAATTTTTCTCGACTTTTATTCACCTAACATGGACCATCGAGCCTGCAAAATTTGCTTGTGAGGATACAGATATAAAGATCGAACTATAAATTTGGAACACTATTTCTATATTTCTTATTCTTCGTGAAATTATAAAGCTTGTTACCATATCATTGAGAAAAAATAAATCAAACAATGAACTGTTGTCAGATCTTACGCTTGCATAATTCGTTAGTGTTTTCATTCCAGGTTCCATTCGATGTACACACGATACGTGAAGAATGAAGAGAAGAACTGTAGTTATTGTCACAGGAGAAGGAGCAGATGTTCCCAATTTTTCGTTGACAACCTTTATCCAGTTTTCCGTTCCGGATAAAAGAAGAACATGCTCGAACTGAAAAAAGTTACAAAAATTATTTCTTTTGAGGAAGAAAAACAACATGACCATTTGCCTGAAGTTAATAATAAAAGAAACTCACAACATAGATCTTTAACATCATGACTCCACTCTCCATTTTCATTACACGTAACATTCTGGGCTAATGGATTCACTTCGAATAGTGCACTGCATTCATATCGGCATGTTTCTCGGATGTTTGCCTGACAATTTATGAGTTTGCCATTTTGTATTGTCTTTGAACAACCAGAAGCTGTAGAAGAAGAAAAAACAAAATATAGACCTTATATTATATATAGCAAGGTCGATTGTTTGCGTGCACTTTTATTCTCTTGCAGGCTTCAAATGAACTGTTTGATTTTAAATATATTTTTATAAGATAACCATCTCACAATTACAGATGTTACAGAGTTACCTTTCTAAGCATTTCATATTTATCGCATGAGTAATTATTTCAACAATAATTCTTCGAATGAAGAAACTTCAGAATAAATGGCCTACGCTTGCATAATCCATCAGTGTTCTCGTTCCAGGTAGAGCCCGATGTGCAGACAATATTTGGAGAGGACAAAGAGGGTCTGTAGTTGACGTCACAAGAGTAAGAGCAAATGTTCCCAATATTTCGTATACAGCTTTCATCCAGTTTTCCGTTCCGAATAGTTGAGGGACATAAATGAACTAGAAATCTTATAAAAATTAGCATTTCTTCTGCAGAAGAAAATTAAAATTATCAACAAATTATCAATCCAGCTTACTCACCACATAGGTTATTTGTATCATCACTCCATGTTCCATTTTTTTTACAAGTGATATTTGGAACAGATGGATTGATTTCCAAAGGGCTAAAACATCTATATTGACATGTTTCTTGGATATGTGACTGGCAGTTTATAAGTTGACCATTTCGTATCGCCTTTGAACATCCAGAAGCTATGTAAATAAAAATCATGAACATGAACTCACTAATGTTTTGCAATATTCAAATTCAAACGATTCATACTGATAATTGAAAGATATTATCAATGTCATTGTTTCGACCTTTGAAATTACGAAGTGATGACTTTCAACGAGACTGCTGATATTCTTGTTTCATCAACTTATTTGTCAATAATTTACTTCGTTTTAAAGATTAAACATACGTAGAGCATGCTCTTGTGTATCGAATCAACTGCGAGATGTAAACTCCGTATGCAGGTGATGAAGATATATTTTTGCATAAATAAGGGACGCTGACGATTGAAAAGTAAAAATCATCGCGTTTATAATAGGACTAGATTGTTAGATTACCAATTAACGTCTTTTTCAAGTAAAATATCCAAATATGAAACAGATGTGTCAGACTCTGTGGTATGAAAATCTTAGTGATAAATCAAAACTAAATCAAAGATCAAACTTACGCTTGCATATTTCACCAGTGTTTTCATTCCATGCACCATCCATGGTACAAACAATTTTTGAAGAAGGAATGGAAGGCCTATAATTAGGATCACAAGTATAGGAACAAATATTCCCAATTTTCCTTTCACAACCTCTATCTAGTCTTCCATTCTGGATTGACGATGAACATAGTCTCACTGGAAATATTGATATTAAACAAAAATTTATATTTGTTTGACGAAGGTTTAAAATGTTTATATGCCTTTGTTTCTTTGTTACAAAATCGAAACTATTACAAAACAAACCTCACCACATAAATTGTTTGTATCATGGCTCCAATCGCCACTTTTGTTGCAAGTTACATTTAGAACAGATGGATTGACCTTAAATGGACTAGTGCATTCATATCGACAGGTTTCTCCTATTCTTGACCGGCAGTTTATAAAATGGCCATTTTTCATGGTTTTGGAACAACCAGAACCTGTAACAGGACAAATAATTAAGGATTTCCGCAACACTTTCTTCCGAATACAACACCTACTCAATCCATCCAATATTCATCATACTCATATTACATCACATCCCGAATGTTATGGTGTTACGTTCCTTGTAAATTTTATAATCATTTTACAAGAGAATCAATATAAGTTTATTCACATCTACTTCTTATATCAAATAAAAGTTAAAATTCTAATTGTCTATTGTCATAAAGCATTCCTACTGCAGGATCTGAATTTCAGTTTCAATAATCAGAAAGACCCATGTCACATTTACAAAACTGATATTTCAGTAACAACAACGGTATATTTCAGTAAAAACAACGGCACATCCAAAAATAGAATGGGATCAAAAAACAAACATACGTATTAGTAAATTTTTAAATATTTATTGGAAAAGAATAAAACATGTTTTCTTGTAACAGTTGAAACCTTACGTAAGCATAGATTCTTTGTGTCCATGTTCCAGGTACCATTGCTTGTACAAAGCAAGTTCTCTGAAGTAGTTTGGGTAAATCCATTATTACAGGAAAATGTGCACGATTCGCCTGCTTTGCGAGTGCATTCCGGTGAAAATAAGGCATTGTCGATAGCAGATGTGCAGAATATTTCTGAAACAGTTGCAAGCTTTAAATTTACTTTTTTCTTATTATTTATTATATTAATCTCTCTATCTCTCTCTCTCTCTCTCTCTCTCTCTCTCTCTCTCTCTCTCTCTCTCTCTCTCTCTCTCTCTCTCTCTCTCTTGCTTATTTTAAAATAAGCCTATTTAAAAGTCTAATATATGTATTTTTAAATTCCTATAAATTATTTTCTGTGTGTGTGTGTGTGTGTGTGTGTGTGTGTGTGTATTGCGGTGGTGAAGATGGTTGTGGGCGAGTGTTGATGCAGGCCAATGTGTGTGTGTGTGTGTGTGTGTGTGTGTGTGTGTGTGTCAATTCCTATAAATGATTTTCTGCTAATGAAAAGAAGTAATTCTTGTATATTTAAATATTTATGCAAATTATTATATCAATGCTTTGAAATCTAAAAATATTAAGGCTCTTGCTCTTTAGATAAATTCTATATAAGTGTCATAGTAAATCAAAGTGTCAAAATATTTACTGTAGTTATTATAGTACTTTATAATTAATTATAGTAAATTTTTGTTAAGATGTACCCATGCAGAAAGGATTTGGGGATGGAGTCCATTGCCCGGATTGATCACAAGTAACAGATGTATTGGAAACAAGCTTATATCCGGATTTGCACGCAACTGGACAAGTTTGCCCGGAATATGGAAGACAGTCAGGAAAATTTACATTCTGTAGGGAGGTCTCACAGCGAGATACTGTCAATGAAATTTTCATCAAAAATAATTAAAACATTTAAAATTGGCATAATTATATAATTTATAAATATAAAAAATAATTTATTGGATAGGAGAAATAAGGAAAATTGAAAACCTCCTTGACATGTTTTTTGGTCTGGTTGCAAATTAACATTATCCTGACATCCACATGTTCTCCCAGTTGGTGTTGGAAAGCAGAAAGTACTGCATCCTCCGTTATTCTTTGAACAAATTCTATTAACTGAAAAGAAGTATAAGGACTATCAAATGACTGCCTTAGAAAACCTTTGACAGATGAAACATTTTTGAAGAATATTTTCAAATCTTACTTACCATCCACTGAATCACCTGTAAATATATCCAAACTATCAAGTCGACCAAGCTCTGGGTGATTTGTCATAAATGTGACTTTAGAACCTGTGGCTTTATTTATCTTTGTTATACGCCTGTTTTGTAAAGAAAACATTCATCATGATTATAACTTCAATATACTAAATATAAAGTATATTTCTTAAAATAAATGAAACTATTGGTAAGCTCATTTTCATTGTCAATTCAAATATGCATAATTTTAGTGCTAAAGCTAATTGCTAAAAAGATATTGGTATATCAGTTTTAAATCAAACGATTCTTTTATTTGTGCAGGAAGAGTAAAGATTTAATTTACTGTCTATTCCACGCAGTGTAATATAAGAATTGTCCATGAATCACAACACTCATTAGATGTGCGTCATTATCAGTTGTTAAAACCTGTCTGTTTAAACCATTTAAATCTGAGTACTCTATGCGATTTTTAAGGCCATCTGTCCAGTATAGTCTGTTGGCTACAAAAAAAGAAAGTGTATATCCTCCCTTGAAAACTATAAGCTTTGCATGGTATTGAGAATTTCTCCTGACTATATATTTGTACATACAAACAAAATCTATAGCGAGACCGTTTGGCCATCCAATATCTGTTGTTGCTATATACTCTTTTGACGTTCCATCCATATATGATCTACCAATCTCTGTTCTATTGCCAAATTCTGTCCAGTACAAAAAGCTAAAGGTAAAATAAAATGAAAACTATGGAGCGAATCTTTTCTTTACCTTCTTTTACTTATTTCCAAATAAAACAATTGAGACATTGTCTTAACTGCTTATCATTTTTTAAACAAGAGCATTTGGATTTACAGTGTAGAAATAAACTAACCCTTTTGACGGATATACCACAATGTCTCTTGGACTATGCAGGTTTGAAAACAAAGTCCTATGAAGTAAGGCGGCTCTGTGTATAACTCCAATATAGCTTTGATTGGGAGTAGAACCTTCTGCAGTAAAGTAAATGTTTCCCGTTGAATAATCGATGGTCAAACGTTCTGCATGAGCGAATCCTAGACATTTAAATGAAAGGTTTAACTCAGTGTCGACCAAAAAGTAAAGTAATTTGGAAAATATGTGCATTTCAAAAAATAATACTTTAAAAATATTGACTTATGAATAAGTGCGAGCATATTGTATTCAATACAAATTTTTGAATACCTGTTGCATACACCAAGGATGTGTTTTTTCCATGAAGTGTGGTCGACATTATAGTTTTCGAGGAGAGAGCAGAGTAGATGAGTTTCATTCTTAATTTATCAAATGTCATTCCGGGAGGAGTTTTCACAACTATTGGTAGTTTGACTATGTTTCCTGTGTTTATGTCAACCTGAAGGATTCGACCGTGGGAATAATCGGAAACAAGAAGGAAATTTGTGGAATAAGCATCTAATAAAAAAAAACATTAATCATAGATTTTCTTCATGGAACTATTAGCATAAATAAAAACAAGATAGGTAATACATATATTTTATAGGTATAAGACCGAACAGCTTATTTCTCAAGAGGATATGACATAAGCTCAAGAGTTTATTGTCACAAGAACCAAAATCTTGCATGAATAGTGGGGAAAGGGAACAAATTTTAGAGAGGTGGTGATGAAATAAGTCATGCGGAAAAAAGAGACCCATGAGCCACAAAGCTCAACTGAGAAATTAAATCCTGCTGTTCTTTATAAGATTTCCCCCATTGCAATACCTATTGTGACCCCACCCTACTCCCATGTGATTTGAACAATGTAGAATATACACTACCAAACGTTGCTTCCACATAAGTTTCAGCTTCTGTGGCCCAGTGGTTCTTGACAAGAAGATTTTAAAGTTTTTATCTATATATTTCAATGTAAAACTTAGATTCCGGCGCTACATTTGGGATTCTGTTTTGAACAATCTAGTCTAGCATTTTTTTTTCAATGTTAAAGAATACCAGAATTTTAAAATCCGTGGGAGGTGGAATTTTTTTAAAATGATCAACTTCTGTACATTCATTTATGCTCCTTTGTATGTTCTCCAAAAAGACATATTACTTATTTAATACATAAATACATATTAATTATACACACGTTATGAACTGGAGTCATCTCTGACTATTGTGACAGAAAGAAAAAAGACTCACTGCTATCACACGTTTTCAGATCTGATTGTAACTGTAGCCCAATATCACATTCACATTTTCGGCCAGTTTCTAGAGGAACACAAATATCCTTACAGCCACCATTCAGTATATGACAGCCACCTACATATAATATAAATATAGCTTTAAAAATTTTAAAATCAAAATCTCTCTCTACAACACACACACACACACACAAACACACCCTGTATCACACACACACACACCCTCACAGCCTCACACACACACACACACACCCTCACCCTCTCACACACGCACACACCCTCACAGCCTCACACACACACACACCCTCTCCCACACCCTCCCTCATGCACATACAAAAACCTTCTCTCCTTCATTCTCACACACATACACCACACATTAAAGTATATATAAAATCAGAACCTGGACTTTTATGTCGTCTCAATGGAAGCCTATGCGTTGTTAGCATAATAAGTATCTTTATATTCATTACCAATTAATCAAATGCGAAATATAAAAATGATGTTATACTAAAATAACTGAAACATGAAACATTTTACTTGTTGTATCATTAAAACTATAATTTTGCTTTAATTGGTTTGCACATTATTTATTTGCTATTTAAGAAGTCACCATCTTTGCGATAGAATTTGTATCAGAGATGTAAAATTGATGGTTATTTCATCTAAAGAAACCAGAGAATAAAGACTATATCAGGGATACATCTTAAACTACCCCAGTCTGATGAAAAAAGTACTTGCCTCTTCTGTCCTTCTCCAGAGAAGAATCGAATATGGAAACATGTGAAGCGTTCTGTATGATATTCAGCATAGTCTCTTGAGAAATTGATGTCTTCCTCGTAAAGTAAATCTTATCTGCATTGATCCAACCAAAGAAATCCTACAAAAATATTTTTTTGTAAAATGAAAAAAAGTTATTTGATTAAATATTTTTGTTAGAAAATGATAAATAAGTAAGTACGTGAAAAACTTAAACTGATTACAAATTGTCATTACAAACTGAGATTTTATAGACAAACAAACAAAAGAATTTAATATATACACTAAACATTTTCGATGACTTTAAGTCCTTACTACTTGTACAAGCATTAACATCTACTGAGTATTATTCAAAATAAAAAATATGTTCTAAACATCCGCTAAGCACGTCACTTGTTTCGATTTATTGAGCAGTAGCTTAATGAAAGATTTCAATAATACTTAAAACTTACTTAATCTCATTTTAAAAGATTATTTGTAGTACAAAAATTTAAGCAATAAAATGTTTGTTTCCTTTGCTTGTTAGTTTTGCACAATATATCCAAAATGTGCAGTTGTTGCAAAAAAAACTGCAGCTAAATTTCAAGCCATTAACCGACATACAGTGACATGCTTGAAATATTCCAAAACGTACAAAATATAATTAATTATATCAAACAACTTTAATTGATCAAAGTTTTAAAAGACCTTTTATACATAACCTTATATACAAACGCCTGTGTTGCACCCCACGTGATAACATGGCTTTTAGTATCCGATCCATTTGTCATGCAGCTTTTAATTATTGATCTGTCTACCCAGTATATCCTGAAACATGTGAAAAACTGTACACATATATTTTGAGTCTTACAGTTAAGGGCCCTCCACACCATGTGACTTGTGACGTATATAGAGGAAAAATACTTTTACTTCCGATTTTTTCTATTTTGTACATCGACGATTTGGAATGGTACCGCTTGTAAGAGAGTCAAGAAACACATGGCATGATCTGCAGATCACGGAGTGACCGATGGAAAAAGATGTGCGGTTGTTTTTAAATAAAAGAACAACAGGCGTCTGGGATTATGTTACGTAATAATTCGTATACAACAGGTACCGGTATGACGAGACACCTTCAGGTTATTTATACTTTCAGGCTAATCAACCGAGTCTGTTCTGATAGTTGAAATTTTTACACACGAAATTTGTGCGTTTCAATAATACACCATCTCATTGTGTGTTTATAAAGTATGCATTTCTAGTTTTCCTCTTTTATATCTGTCCAGTTCAGTTGCCAGTAATTACTAAATATAGAATGATGACGTATTTAGGAGACTTAACAAAGTTTTTGAGTCCCGGGCAACAGGGAAGATAACCTCAAAAAGGAACTTTGATACCAATGATTTTGAAAATATTTTTTCTACTTCAGTGCATTTAATTTTAATTCAATTTTTTGATGCAATATAATTCATGTTTCTTCTCTACAAATGGTGTCTTTATTGGTTTTTCTCGAGTTGTATTTTAGAGAAAATGAGTTTTATGAATTTTTTATAAATAAAATAAATTTCTGTAAAAAATATGTTGATCGATAAAATTAAGTTTTTATGGTTATTCTGTGAGCTTAAAAATATACGAAAGGGTAAGACACAATTTGTTGTGCTGGGTATGAAAATGCCTTGGGAAAAATTTTTTAAAACTTGTGAAATTATTATTTTTAAAAAATCAATATAAATTACATTTTAATCCCTGGACAGTTTTTAAAGGTTGATATGGTTGTTAAAAGTAATGCTCAATAATATGAGAACATAAGCTGTGTGTGTGTGGAGGACCCTTAAAATCTTAGAACGTTCAATTATAAAGTAACAATTCAAACGTCATGTAAAATTTAAAATACTACTTAATGAGATAAATGGTCATTAGCACTTAAAAAGCGGTTCCAAGATTAACAACCCTTTTTCTAACTATTTTGACTTGTCCTGCAATTTGAAGTGAAACTTTACTATTGTGCATACAAAATTCTTAAATGCATGCATTTAGTTTCGAATAAAACGTAAATAAAATCTTGAGCATTTTGTAAAAGTATTGTTGTATGCCTGTTGCTTGTGACGTCGTAAAATAGAGAACTTGGGTTGTGTAGATTTGCGGACGCTACAATAGTTTCTGGCTGACTTCTACTCAACGTTCCTCGCATTATCGATATTTGTGTCCTTCCAGAAAGCCAAAACAGGTATCTGAAAAAAAGAAATCTAATTAAGGGGGTCGACTACAGTTTTATTGTGTGAAAATTATAATAGCGAAACTCTTCATTTTTATACCATATATAACTTACATTAACTTTAGTGTACATGCAAAATTTGGGGGAAATCTACCGTCCAGGTATTTTTGAAGGACCGTCTCAAAATACAGGTACATTTACTATAAGATTATATAGGAAAATGCCAATTTTTAGCACTTTAAAGCAAATTATACAGATACTACAAAAGACATTTCATTCAAACTATAATATTTGATGAGTAATACTATATTATACAATATATGTAAGAAACACAAAATTCTACCGTTTTGTTACCAGAGGGGGCATCTCAAAATGCAAAAAATTAGCAAATTTTACTATTTTTATAGAGTATTACAAAATATGACCTTCTCAATGGATTCACATGAAAACATTATAAAAATATTGGAAATATTCTCAAATTTCTATGTTTTAAAATTCAAGAGCGTATGTTTATTACTTTTTCTTTAATAATATTTTGATTACCCCTTTCTTTAAGAGAGCTCTACAGATTATAATAACGTCAAAAACACATTGCAACGACGTCAACTTACCTATCAATTGCAAAATCGGTTAAAAAATCAGTTATATCAAATTGTAATTTAATTTTTATACCTATAATTTCTTAATTTTGTTTAAATTTAATAATTAAGCGAAAAAAGTTGCATTAAAACAGTAAATACGCTTCATTTGTCTATGATGCGCGAAATATGACCAATTTCTGAAAACGCAATGGAAATAAGGCAAATAAAGTAACATTGAAAGACAAATGTATGTAACCCCCTTAAATATTTAAAAAGATTATTATAACAAGCTTTCCCTTCCCTGATCCGGATTTCATTGTTGAAATCTGAAATGCTATGAGATAAGATCTCCACTTAGTTAATTCTGAAAACCGTTGAAGATTTTTTTATACTATTTTTAGATATTGTTCCGTTTATTAAATCAAATAAAGAATTGTTAGCAAGGTTTTTATATAATATTGAACTTATCTCATTTTATTAGTAAGTGTTGGTTTAATTTTAAATAATCCATGAATTATTTTCAAGGCAAAGACTTTTGGTATTACATACCCATTATGAGAGTCCACTGTTAGTGATGTTGGTTGCTGAAGTCCTGAATATATTACTGAAGTCGTCCCTAAATTTATAGAATATGCTCGTATTGTAGATTGTGCAGGTTCTATCCATTCTAGAAGATTTGCAATCCAGTCAAAATTCAAATCTACATAAAATATTTTCTGAATATTTATTAAATGCAACTACAAACTGCATTACCTATAGGATGAGAAATTTTATGTGCTCTATATAAAGAAAAAGATGCAGATGCCTTTTTAAGCCTATCACATCTAGTTTGACGTAATTGATGTGTTCATTCAGTCTTAATTATGGCTTTGAATTTTTCTTTCTCGTTCAAAAATCCTTTTTTTGCCATGTCCCATATAAACCTTTATAGTTTATTTTTTTCGAACTAAAACTAACACTGGCGTGGTTGAATTTATATTTGTTTTACGCATATAAACTAAGATCTTGTGTCTATTTCAATTTTTTCGAAAGTGGCTTTAAACAATTAACAACTTAAATCATTTCTTAAGATAAAAAAAATCTTTTGCAGCAAATGATTTTAAATGATAATTTTAAGGATTATTTTTTTCTGTTTGAAGTTCGAACTTCCCTGCGAAGAGGAAGAATTATCATTTTCAGTAAAAGCTATTAAACTGTGTACTTTATATTTAAACTTTCATGTCACTGCTGAGAAATATTAAATAAAAGGATGTAAGCATTCTTTCCTTAAAAGTATTTATTTTACTGAAATAACATGCATTTTGATGGTTCTCGAAAAATATTGTTCGTAGCAAGGGACTTGAAAGATACTAAAATAAAAACGTAGGTTAATCAAAATACCGGAGAAATATAGTTTTATAGTAAATTATAATGTTCATAGTTAATCAGTTTTTACTATAGAAGATCAAAATATATATCAAATTCAAATTGTTTAATTCATTTTTTTTATGCAAGCATGCATAAAAAAAAACATTGCCTATGATTTCAATATTATGCCCAAAACTACCATAATTAGTGGATAATTTGAGATATATTAATCTCAAAAACAATGCTAATGTGCAAGATTTTATTTTAAATTAATGCACCATAGGATTAAAACTCTCATATTTTTTTCAAATATCTAAATAAAGAATAGCTTATTATTATTATATAAAAGAATATAAGAGAGTAAACTGCCATGTTGTAAATTTTGAATACAAAGGGTGGCTGCGTAAATAAAAAAAAATTACAACATGACTACCATATCGTAAATTTTGTATTACTGCAACCCTGTTTATTCAAAATTTATAAAATGACGAAAGTATCATTATCTATTGTATACTTTTGTTAAGATAATTTAAAAAAAAAAATTTACCTCTGGCATTTTCAATAGAAGCCAATGTTTTAATTTTTCGACTGATGATGTTCAATTCCTTTAAAGTTTTATTAACACTGTCCACAAAATAGATAAGATCTGATTCGGCATCTACAGCAAACGTTTCAATAAAAGAGAAGGGTACGTTCAGGACATAAATCTGCTCTAATCTTCCATTGACAGAGTTTGCCTCCAACATAGAGAACGCTGTAGCGTTGCTAACAATGAACCCTTTGTTGTGAAACCAGGAGGGATCTGCACAATTTTAAAAAAATCAAGATTTAATTATCTTATAAGTAAATGAAATGTATGTAAACGTGTAACAGTTTCTTTATTTTCCTTAGTTTTCAACTGTTGCTGCTAAAAATCAAATGAGCAATTCAAAATTTATGTTTTTACAAATTTTTTTGCACAAAGTAAAACTCTATACAGCTTTTGCGGTAAAGATCAAATTTCGGCGAAGGAATTGTACTATTGTACACTTTCTTGGTGTTTCAAAATGTCGGATACATTTGAATGTGAATACAATGGAAACATCAATATACCTGTGCATGTAGAACCATCCGTTGACAATTGATAACCCTCAGCACAGAGACAGGTGGGTTCTGCAGGAGTGTTGACACACATATGCTGACATCCTCGGGATGAACAAGGAGCTAAGTAAGGAACGAAGTAAATGAGACATTTACATATACATATTATTTCTATAAAAAAAGTAAGCTAAATTACAAAATGTGTGAAGTTCGAAGAACTGCATGTTTGAAACGTACATGTAACTTCAAAGAAAAATGTTATAATAAATGTATATGCCTATACCATAATACGAGATTGGTGTTTCTGCATCATAAACATGAACAGCAAATGGTTGTGCAGATGCCATCGTTAATTTGTAGAGTACGGACCCCGATGTTACATCAAATCCAAATATATTTTTTGAGCCAGCGCTTGCAGCATGCAAAATACTCTGGTAATTAAAAGAATTATTAGAAAACATGAATATTATAACATTTTTTTCATCTTTTTTATGGACGTAGGTTATGATGAAAATATAAAAGTGGGATCATATCTAGAGATATTACACATAAAGAATGATAGGCATAGCAAAGTTTCTTAACATCGAATTCCAAGATCGGAATGCACAAAACCTGATGATAGTGAATCCCTGTCAATGAAACCTGGTTGTTCCTTCTAAGTACTCTTCTATTCGACCCGTCAAAATGGCTGACCTCTACCGTTTGTCTACCATTATCTGCCCAGTACAATAAATCATTGACAGTGTCAACAGAGAGGGCCAATATTCGTATTAGACTGGTGTGCACTATTACAGTTCTATTCTTTCCGTCCATGGAGGTCTTTTCAATGCGTGGATTTAGATCATTGTCAGAAAAGAACATCAATCTATCGTTAAATAGAAAACAACAAAAACAAAATACTTTATGTATCAAAATAAAAAAAGTTCAACCATCAACATTTACTTTTACAAGAAACTGGTTCAAACAACCATAAACTAGATTTTGTATATTTCTTTGTACAATGGGTGATCAAAAAGTTCGCGAACTAATTAAATATCTTCCATATAAGAAATAATATTTGGTTTCAATGTTGATTACATTTTAAATTAATCCTCTTCAATTTTAATGGATATCAGCCACCGTCGTTCTGCTCATGCGCGAATCATGTGATAAAGGCGGTCACGTGACCCCCTTTGTAGCATTCTGTCACAAAAGCTGAAAGATTTTTCTGAGTTTAATATTTCTTTCCATGTAAATTAATTTTATAATAAGAATTAACAGTTCATTTGTCAGAAATGGTGAAATCTCTGCAACAGAATGGGTAGACAAGAATATTCTCTCCAAAAATAAGCATGACGACTATCAAAACCTAATTTTTTTGTCTCGGGAGAGACGTTTATTCAAGGTGGATAGAGATTCAGTGCCTCCTTTCTTTCATATCTATTTAAAATCTAATGTAAATGATATCGTAGGTATTTAATAATTAATTAAGCTATTTTTCAAAGTGTAAATTGGAGGTCTTTGATAGCAAATTGTTTTTATTAGAAAACACATCTCTTTTCAAACTTGCTTTTACTGGGCAACATATCACAAATATCATTTTTTAACCATCTACCTTCCTTTACTTAACTGACCAGTCCAAACATTTATTAAATTTATAGGATGTATTTTGTCTTAATAAGCTGTGTACAAATTATTATACGCTACTGCAAAGGAATTTTTAAGATATACAATAAATCTTTACAGGCGTTCCTTGAATGAGTACGACTGAGACAACCATTTTTGTCACAAGTGTCCTATATAGTGACGTCATTTTTACATTGTGACGTCACAAACAAGGAGCAAAACATTATTCAGCATATGTTATTTATAGAACTTGTGTATGGCTATGTGTGTACCATTTTTTTTTCTAATCTGAATTGTGGTTTTGAAGATATAGAGATAGTTCGCGAACTTTTTGATTACCCCTTGTATATCATCTAAAATAAAAATAAAAAAAAAATAAAAGGAACACACAAAAAAAAAATACAAAAAGACCCGTTAAAAAATAGAGGAATAGAATTTGAATAAAATCCAACTGATTAATAAGTATGCTTAAATGAAAATTTGAAAAGAAAACTTAATTGTAATTCACTTATTAATTTTGAAAATTTTCAAAATGATATACTGATTATTCAGATGAAAGATTTTTTCAATACACGAAAGAGAAGATTTTTTCCTTTTTTTTTTTTTTTTTTTTTTTTTTTTTTTTTTTTTTTTTTTTTTTTGGAAACAGATTATTACATATATATCCTACCCATCGTCTGGATCTAGTGCCAGTCCTTCAGGCTGATATAAGTCATCTTGAACAATTATTCTGTGTATTGAATCATTATGCCCATACGCTGGTTTCATGGCTATCCAGTTTAGAAGTGAATCACACCAGTAAAGATTGTTGGAAACAAAGTCAAACGATATTTGACCAAATGCTGCAGATTTTCCTTTATATGCGAGACTGAGTGTAATGGACTTTGATTCATTTTGCCAGATGTTGAACTTTTGAAATACATATATTGAGTTTTGAACAGCGAAAAATACATTTTTATTTTTTTCATCGGAAGTAATACTTGTTATCTGCACATTTTGTGGATTTAAAGACGTCGAGACGTTTGTGTAATAACTTGCTTGGGCTCTTGGTATTTCTGTGATGGTGGCTATCCTTGCAGGATTCCATATTCCAAGAATTAGTCCTCTGTTACCAGGGATGCCTAAAATACCTGTTTTATTTAATTGTAGGTATATATTTGTATACACATGTATACTTATTATTGAACTGCTAATGAGAAATGCTGTTTTGTCGCTTACATATCAATATTTAAGAGCAAACTTAAGTGATCCTCATTTTTTGTATTTCTTTTAATGCAATGTTTGTTAAAGGTCCTCCACATCATGTGACTTGTGACGTATATAGAGAAAAAATATTTTTACTTCCGGTTTATCTAGTTTTATGGATGAACGATTTGGCCTAGCATGGTTTGTAAACAATGAACACATGGCATGATAACGGAGTGACCGATGGAAAAAGATGTGTGTTTTTTTTAAAACAAAAGAACAACAGAAGTCTGGGATTATGTTACATAATAATTCGCGGACAACAGGTACCGGGTATGACGAGAAACGTTTAGGTTATTTATACTTTAAGGCTAATCAACCGAGTGTTTTGATAGTTGAAATTTCGGCATACTAATTTGTGCGTTTCAATAATACATTATCTCATTGTGTGTTTATAAATACTGATAAAATAGTGTTAATTTTCAGTTTTCCTCTTTTATATCTGTCCAGTTCAGTGGCCAGTAATTACTAAATATAGTATGGTGACGTTTGCGGAGACTTGCCAAAGTTTATGAGTTCCGGGCAACAGGAAAGATAACCCCCAAAAGGAACTTTGTTACCAAAGATTTTGAAAATGTTTTTTCTACATCACTGCATTTATTTTAATTCAAGTTTTTGATGTAATCTAATTCATTAATGTTTCTTCTCTACAAAAGGAGTCCTTAATGATTTTTCTCGAGATGTATTTTAGAGAAAATTAGTTTTATGTACTTTTTATAAATAAAATAAATTTCTGTCAAAAATATGTTGATCGATAAATGAAGTTTTTATGGTTATTCTGTGAGCTTGAAAATATACAAAAGGGTAAGACAAAATTTGTTGTGTAAGGTATGAAAACGCTTTGGGAAAAAATTCTTGAAACTTCACACTTTAATCCCTGGATAGTTTTAAAAGGTTGGTATGCTTGTTAAAAATAATGCGCAGTAATATGAGAACATAAGCTGTGTGTGTGGAGGACCCTTAAGTATATATTTACATGTATGTAATTAAAACCATATAAACTCTTTACAGATTGTTTATACACACACGTAATATATCTAATCCTATGTTATAAAATTTAATTATGCATGCCACATTTATGTCACTATGAAATATATATGAGATACAGTAACGTAAAATACACGTTTATATTCCTCTAAAAAATAAAGACTATTCGGAAGTGAAGCATTTAATAATCTGAATTTGAGGGATTTAAAAGGTATGCACCATCTCTCCCAACAGTAAAACTAAACCTCTGCAATTAATTTGTCGCTATTAGTAGAAGGACGCTTTGCTGATTATGTATCATGTGTATCAACATTCTTTATTTTAAAAACATCCTGACACTTGTTAAAATTTTTAACATTTAAAAACAACCTGTTGTTACATCGAATGTCCTGAAATCCATTTAAAATAATAAAATTATTACGGTTAAGCATAATGAATATTAGGACTATCTTTCGTCTTAATGGATACCGTATATTTAAAACTACATAATTATAGAAAATTTTAAATTAAGTGAAAGTTCAGACATAATAAAAAAAACTTGCTTTTTAATTGTTTGGAACTCCTTGCATTTACATACTAGTACTTATTTATAAAATGCTTTTTATCAAGTTATTATATAGTCTATATGCGTTTTAAAGTCGTATTATTGGACTAAAACACCAGCAGGCGATTTTTGTTTTTTCTTCCTTGTAGTTGAATGTTTATACATGTCGTTGAAGACTCCATACATGTTGATGATTTGGTATTAAGAGTACTTAGCAGAGTGGAGTCAAGAGTGCAAGTAGTTATTCATTTAGTTTCAGTGTCACAAGTTTTAGTCTAGCTATTTTGTTAGGGATCTTTATATTACATGTAAAATGTTTGCCATAGTTCCCTACCGACTTTCAACTCAATCTTGTTTTGGCCTACAGAAACTGGTTCGATTCCAAATTATTAAAGTCAACAAAATGAACATCTTTTAAAATGTCTTAATTTAAATAAGCAACTTTCAAAATTTGATACTACTTATAATCTTTAGATAGTAGGGAGCTGTCGACTAGTGACCAGGCCTGACCCATTATACGCGGTTGTTGGATGCGCACTATAAACTTCGCACTTTATGATAGGGTCCAACAGAAAGTACATGCATATCAATCCGTCAACGGGTTAACTCCTCTCCATATTCAGGATATGGTTTTATCTGAATATTTTTTCTTCATTTCCAATGCTTTTCTTCAGAATATTTTGTCCTTCATTTCATTTGAATGTCATTTTGTTACGGAAGACCTTTAAAGCTGACCATTTCAAATATTACTTTGCTTTGCAGTCGGAGGAGATATAGTAAAGCCCTGGTTAGTTTGCCCTTTGTGTTACGTGGAAAACATGTGATTTGCATCGGGATTTGTTTTGGATGTTGCCTTGATTTATAGATCTTTATGTCCCCGTGGGGATCCAGGTTAGAATAGGTCCTCAGTACCCCCTTGCTTGTCGTTAAAGGCGACTAAATGGGGCGGTCCTTCGGAGGAGACCGTATAAACCGAGGCCCCGTGTCACAGCAGGTGTGGCACGATAAAGATCCCTCCCTGCTCAAAGGCCGTAAGTGCCGAGCATAGGCCTAAATTTGCAGCCCTTCACCGGCAATGGTGACGTCTCCATATCAGTGAAATATTCTGGAGAGGGACGTTAAACAGTATACAATCAATCATAGATCTTTATGCTCTTTGCGAGGGTCTGGAACAACTTTTCAAAGATATTTTTATTTTCTTTTGGCCATTCATATACTTAATGTGGATTATCACAGCTAAGCAGTCAAATAAATTTGGAAAATGTGAGAGACCAAAACCCTTAATTCGTCATTGATATGCAAATATTTTTGGAAACGTCAATACCTCTCAATGTTTATTCCCTCTATTGAACTATTTTCATTTTCTTAACTTGATACGCTTGTGTTGAATATTGGCTGAAAACCATACGTTTTATGTGAATTTTGAATTTCAAGAAATTCGTCCAAAGTTCAGTACTGTATAAGGTGTCAGAGGATATTTTCAGATTAAGTACCGGTCAAAATTTAAATATTGATTGTATGTTGTTTAACGTCCCTTTTGAGAATTTTTAACTCGTATGTAAACGCTACATGTACCTATAGCACGCCAAATTCACAAAAATGAGCTAAACATAGTTTCACAGTTGATAAACTAGGTTTATATATAAACTATAGTTTACAAACCGTGAACTATAGTTAACAATTCGTTAAGTATAACTATAGTTTTCATCTGTAAAAGTATGTTTAACGGTTGTTAACTATAGTTTACGAATGCTAATCTAACTATATCTTTCTGTAATAAAACTTTATCAATAGATTTTGTTGATAAACACATACTCACGTCTGTAAACTATAATTTACAATCGTGAACTATAGTGCTAATCATAGTTTCACAAATCGTTAAACTATACTTTTCAGATCGTTAACTAGAGTTAAAAGAGTTGTAAACCATAGTTTAAAAATCGCGAAACTGTATTTATCCGATAATCTATGTTTTGCAATCGCAAATGATTGTTTTCAGTGTTAAGTACAGTTGTATAGTTTACGGCTCTGAAACATAGATTATCGCATTAACTATGGTTTACAGATGTAAAATATAAATTAACGTCCTTAACTATAGTTTACAGTCCGTAAACTATAGTTTACAGCCGATAAACCAAGTCTATAAACTGTGAAACTATGTTTAGGTCGTTTTTGTGAATTTGGCGTGCCATAATAACCACTTGCCTGTAGAAAGCTGCAAATTTTGTCTTACACATGGCCAATGAGTCGTGAGGGTTCTTCTCGTGCCAGCACTTACTGCGACACGGGACCTCGGTTTATACGGTCTCATCCGAAGGACAGGTCTCCACGTCCCACAGTGGGATTCAAACCCGTGACTTCAGGATCAATTCTATACTTCGCGACTTTAGAGGCAGACGCTCTAACCACTGCCCCACGCTGGCGAAAAAAAATTAGGGCGGAAATGAGAAGCCTAAGGTTTTAGACAATTTTATTGCTAGAATATTTCATTTGTGCATCTGTGGGGAATTGGTTTTGTATATTTTATTGATATATGAAACTTAAGTGTCACTACTACTATTTATGGGATATGGGCTAGAAATACAAAACTAAAATAAAAAATCACTCTTCCGGGATTTCCTCAGAAAAGCGGGTTGGGTTCATAGTATGAATTGTAGCTTGCAAACGAGGTGGTTGAGCTATTATCTCTCGCTGTCCAATGGTATGCACAAGTGCACAAGTGTTGGTCTGAATTTTGTGTGGTACAGAAGCTTAGGTCATTTAGCACACCCTGGAAGCAATTGCAAATCTGGCGAAATAGTGAAAATAGGCTAAATTTTCATGAGGTTTTGAGAATGTCGATGTGCGATCATTTAAGCTTGTTGTATAAGTCGTATATGTTTTATTCGTAAAAGCCTCCTTAAGGGACTAGGCCATACTATTGTTTCATGTATTCTGCCAACTTCATTCATGGAAAATATCTCCCACGTGTTCTATCCGCCCTTTCGCCCTGCTCTCAATTGGCGTAGAACTACGAACGCTAAATAGAAAACAAGAAAGTGTAGGTTGGTTTTTCCTTATTGATGATGAAAATAAACTTACCGAAACAGAAATACTCATGAATTGTTATTATTCCAAATGCTACAATCACTTGTGGAGTAAATAACATTATTTCCAAGATAAGTAAAACAAGAACTGCAAAACAGGTTACTAAACTTTTCACATTTGTGATGAATGAGGAAGTTAAATTTATTGGTTACCAATGTTGCTCATCTTAAAGTATACATGTATAGCAAACCCATCAAAAACACGTCTTGTGACACTCTGCATCACTTTCTTTGAATGTATACATACAAAGTGGTCCGT